CGATTGGTTATTAGTAGTTTCAAAGTGGTCGAATCCTCTCGTCAATTATTAGCTTTCAATGACAAAAAAATTACATCTTAAACAAAATTATTAAATATAGACTAAACAAACATGCATTGCACGTTGCTTTCACCTAGTATGGTTGAAAAGTTGTGAGTTCAATGAAATTTGTGATTAAAATTAATTATTAAATTTGACTTTAATAAAAATCTAAATTATAATTTTTATCAAATCGAAAAGTTGTGAGTCCATAAAATATTTAAAGGAAAAACAGTTCGACGATATACTGAAAAAAGCATTTAGCTTTAGCACTTTTGGATCTACATTTTGTCGTTTTACATTCACGACTCTCACTAAGCTCATGTTTGAGCCACATTCTCATTTTCATTTTCATTCTTCTACTCATTTTCAACCACACATTCTTCAATAAAATATTATTTTACATCACATCAATAATTTTTTCTTATTTTTCAACCATATATTCACCATCACATCACAAAAAAAAATGCATTATCTCCTAAAAATGTGCATCAAACACACTCTAAAAGTAAAAATGCATAAGAGATTTTGTGTGAATACCCCTTCAACTTCTAAATTCTTGATATTTAAAGCTTGATTTTGATTAATCAAACGCTTTGGAGTAAGTATATTTAGACGTTAGTAGCCTATCGTGTTGATATGTTAATTTGCACGTTTATGCATTTGTCAATTATACCTTCGGGCTATATGTGAATGTCAAGTTTCAAACTTTACATGTCTAAACGATTTTAGACGAAGTCTTGACGTAAAAACGTGTTTTCTTATTTTCGATATTATTTTGAATTTCTAATCATTTTAAAAATTGTTTAATAATTAAAATAATATATACCAAATATCTAAAATTATAAGATACTAGAGTTACTTAATAGTTTCAATAATTATTCAAAATACAATTTTCAAATTTTCGAAATGCGAAAATTATACTATTTTTCGTAATTTTAATAAGTCCTACTTGAAATTTTCTAACGTGTTTTCATTTTTGACTTTTGTACTGATGAAGTCATTTAAAAACTTGAAATCAAAATCAAATAAAAAGGCTTTTAAGAAAAAATGTTAATAAAGCGTCCGGCGTTCATTGTCAAAGCATGACGCTTTGTCCGAGCTTTGAGCTTTAACTTTTTAGAGCCCCAAAAAATTAAGCAATTGTTGACACCACAGGTACAGACGTACGCATCGAAGTTTGGACAAAACTGTAGGTGTTATCGGTTTCGGTACAATGCAGAAGGAGCCCAATCATGGGAACTGACACTAGGAGTGGCTAGCTGTACACCATATCGATCAGGGGAATAGTTCATATCGTCTGTTTTTATTTTTATTTATTATTTATTATTATTATTATTTAAAAAAAAAAAATTCCTGTGACAGAGTCTTTACATGTAGCACGGTTGGTCAATTCATCATGTACGTTCATTTTCTCATGTACGTTCATTTTCACTCAGAGCTTGTTTGGTAGGGATTTTTGGAGGAAGAATTGATTTTTGAATAGTGATATGATAGGAAATGTGTGGTTGAAAAAAAAGAAAAAATTATTAATGTGATGGAAAATATTATTTTATTGAAAAAT